GTCACTTAACCCACACATGCCTCACTTTCAGCATTGATAAAATGAGCAGAACTTGATGGCCTTCCAGCTCTCCATCTTGAATCCTACAGTTTTCAGTTCCACAAAGTCCTTGCTGAACAATCACTCTGGGAGTGGTTATTAATGTGTGTCAGCACCATTAGCACTATTATACAAGCGAAGAAATTGGGGCGCTGAGAAGCCAGTCACAGAGCTAGGAAAGGGAGTCAGAGACCAGTGTTCATTCCCTACTCTCCTGCCTTTGGGAAGCTCCCTCTGTGGGGGGAAGACAAAGCCCGGAACTCGAGGGGCTCCCAATTTTGGGAGCGATGCAGCTGAACCCCGAGGGCAGCCCCCTATCTTAGACAGAGATGTTGCCATGGAGCAGGGAAAGACCTAACATTATGTTAAGGGGAGGGGAGCAGATAAACAGATAATCTGAGGGGACCTGCTGGAGGAGGTGGGCTCTGACGCCGCGAGCAGGGCTTGGGGTGCCCATGGGCCTCCCACTTGGGGGCGAGGCAATATCACGTGATTGAGGACTGCTCAGAGCTGGTCTTAGGCAATCCCTCAGGACTGTAAGTACAGGAAGCGGAAGGCTGAGTTAAGGGAAGAGGCAGCTCCTGGCTTGGCCCAGCCCTGCCCAGCTGGCCCTGCCCTGCCCACATTCCGGAGGATGGGAAATCTGGGATTTTGCTGCCCCCTCCTGGCTCTGCTGCCGTCCAGCAAACATGTTCTACCTCTGGCAAGAACCACCCCATCACCTAATGGGCTGGGATGATGGAGGACTCCTAGGAACCCAGGGCTGAGGGACCATAGCCTAGAGCTGGGATCAGTCTCAGACATCCAGGGCCCCAGTCTCTGGTCTGCAGTCTGCTGAGCTGCTGGTCCCTCAGTTCAAATACCTCTCTTCCCTAGCAGGGGGCAGGTTAACACTTTCTTCCCTGGTCAATGGGCCCCCTTTCTTCCCACAACCCAGTGACAAGCATTTAGGTGCCCACTATATGTCAGTCGCTGTCTAGGTGCCGAAAACTCAAAAGCAAACAAAGATCAGAAAAAAAGAAAATCCTTTTCCACAAAGAGCTTGTATTCCACGGATAATTACACATAAAAGCATATTCAGAACAGCTGATTTATAGAGCTCTAAGTACTTTGCAATAATTATTTCATTCCATCCTCACAACCACCCTGGTTAGAGGTAGGTGGGATTATTATCCCTATTTTACAGATAAGGAAACTGAGGCAGACAGGTTAAGAAATTTGCGTCAGTGCCATGGATTTGAACTCAGATCTCCCTGACTCCAGGTCCAGAACACTAACCACTGTGCCACCAAGCTGCCTCACTTTATATGTAAAACATATACAAAGGACTCAAGTAGGAAGTGGCATAGAGAACTGGCCCCAGGTTCAAGAACTGCCTCTAACACATACCCGATGGTGAGACCCTGGTCAAGTCATTTAAACTCCCAGACACCCACCCAGGTAACACTCTAAGACTAAGCCAGGGAGAAGATACAGACTGGTAGAGAAAGGCCAGCCAAGTCATGGGCCCCATCAGAGACTCTTAAGTGAGGAGGTCATTCATTCTGGAGAAGGCGGGTCAGCCTTTGTGGGCATTGAAGTTTGAAGTGGAATAGTCCAACCCATATCCAAGAGGAATTCCTATCATAATCCACTTGGAAAGGAAACAACCAGTCTCTACTTAAAGCCCTCTGACCAAGGGGGTTCACCATCTCTCACCATGGCAATCCACTCTACTCCGGGACAGCTCCATGCATTAGGAAGGTTTTCCTCACACTTGGCTTCAATCTGCCTTTCCACACCATCCACATAGCTCCTGGTTCCAAATCTAACCTCTCTTCCACAAGACAGGCCTTCAACGGTCACCGTCCTCTCTCCATCCTCCATTGTTTCAAACTCAATTTCGTGGAACATGGGCTCCAGGCCCTTCACCACTCTGGCTGCCTTCCTCTAGACAACTCTTCAGCTTATCACTATTTCCGAACTGAAGTACCTAAAACTGAACATGGTACTCCATATGTATTCTAATGCAGAGTTATCACCTCCTTATTCCTGAAAACTATGCCTTCTCAATGTAGCCCAGGATCGAAAAAGCTTTCTTTTAGCTGTCATATCCCACTGCTGACTTATTATATTTGTAATCCACTAAAACCTCCTGGACATTCTTTTCAGATCTTTTGTCTAACATCTCCGCCATCCCGTGATTGGGAAATTGCCTTTTTGAACCCAAATGTAAGACATCACGTTCATCCCTGATTAATTTCATTGAATTAGCTTTGGGCCCCGTGCCTTCAAGATCTTTCTGTGTCTTATCACTGAATGGGTTAGCCACTACCCTTCCCATCTTTTGTCAACTGAAAATCTGATGAAGAGGCCATCAACACTTTTAACCATCACTAATAAAGACGTTGAACAGCACAGGACCAGCCATGGAGAGAGAGGCACTCGCTCTACTGGCCATCTCTGGCCAGGTTGATAATAAATCATGACAACCATTTCTGACTCCAATTATGCGGTCATCTAGTACACACCTCTCCACCTACTACAGAAGAACTGTACATGGGACTTCACAGACTCTCTGCCAAGATCTGGGTAAGTCATTTCTATGGAATTCCCTCACTGACCAACTTAAGAGACTTTGTCCAAAAAAGGAAATAAGGTTATTTCGGCATGAGCTATATTTGACGAAGCCCTTTAGGCTCAGATATTCACCGACCGTCTATTTAACATCCATTTCAGGATCGCTCTAGGACTCAAAGTCAAGTTCACTGGTCTATAACTTTCCCATTTTTGAAAACTGGGACATTTGCACTTCTCCTCACAACACTGTCTTGCACTCGTTCAAATATTACAGACAGTGGCTCATCAGTCCCTTCTGGCCAGTTCTTTCAGTATCTGAGGATGCAGTTAGTTCACCTGGGCTAGGTGGGTGGGGCTGTGTCATACAGGTAACAGCAAGAAGGCCAGGTTGGCTGACCCATAGTAGGCACACAAACACACCCAACCTCTCAGTCCAAAGGGGTCAAATGAGTTTATGGCCCTGCTCTTGGACCGGGAAAGCCCCTCTGATCTTTCCTTCAGACCTCAATCTGCAGCTTCAGAGGCATTATTAAGCGCCTGGGGCTGGGAAAGAGGAAGCCTGGTACTTAGTACCGGCCATGCTTCTGCTTTGCTGAGTTACCCTAGACAAGTGACTTCCCTTCTCTGATATCTCCCCTTCAGAGGTCCCTCCTGGCTGTGACAGGCTAGGATTCTAAGTCAGGTTGGTCTTTGCTGCCAGTTAAGTCTCTTTGTCCCTTCATCCCTTGTCCTTAAGCTACCCCCAGGATGCACAAAGCAACCCAGCCCCACCTCCCCTCTCTAGTACAATCAAAGTCATTTTCTAGCTCCCGGGCTCGAGGTGACAGATAAAAGTTAATGTGAGAACAGAAATGTTGGCCAACCAGAAACAATTGTGCCACTTACCAGGGGCCTCCTGGAAATAGTACCAAAGCCTCAGGAACGATTCAGACAGGGAGGCTTTCAAACTAGATTGAGAGTGGAGAGGGCGTTTGATTTTGGCTCCAAATACCAGACCCTCCTTCCACAATCACAGTTTGTACTTCCAGATTTGTAAAGTGTTCTACAACATTAACATATCCTCCCATAATCCCAGAAGATAGGTGCTCTTAAGATCTCCATTTTACAGATGAGGAAACTGAGGCAGAGGTGAAATGCCTTGCCCAGACTCACACAGCTTGCACACATCTGAGACCAGATTTAAACTCAGATCTACCGGACTCTGGGTATACCTGACTCCTCTTCTTCCTGCTGTCTCCCCTGATCCAAGGAGCGCTTGCTGGACATTTCTTCTAAGAGACAGCTCCTTGGCTGAAATGGTCATCACAGAATCCTACTGGAAACTGAGCCCAAAATAATCACTTGCTGAAGGTCACCCAGCAGAGCTGGAACCTGGGTCCTCCAAATCCAGGTCCTTTTCAGGGGCCTTGTAGACCATCTCCTCTGGGCTTGAGTCGATAAACGGGGAAATGAATTGAAGAATGGGTAAGGAAATTTTCCACATCAGTGGCCCAAGTATGGAATCTCCAGGATCCCAGCACAGGATTTTTCCACAGGCCCACATACCTATGCCCATCCAGAGGCAGGTGGACCTAGGTTAGAAAGGGGCGAACCGCCAGTTAATGAGTACCCCACCCAAATCACCAGGCTCGAAAGCCCATTCAGGCCTTGAGTTCCTAGCCCCAAGAGCCCAAGGATGGGGCAGGGGGCCAGGAAGCTCACACTGTTCCCTCTCCCACCCCTCTGAAGTGCCCAGACAGGCTCCTTCAGCTTCAGGCCTAAGGCTCAGGGTCAGGGAAGCCTATCTTTCCAAGCAGAAAGAATCCTGAAATAGTCTGTAAGAAGGCATAGGAGGAGGGGTGCTCTTCAGCTGAGCAGGTTAGAGAGGATGGATGCCCTGGGCTAGGATCTGGGGAGACTAGGAATTCCTGTTCTGTAGACAACACAGTGACTCATTTGGTGACCTCCCAAAGGTCCCTGCCTCTTCCTGGGCCTCGGTTTCCCATCTACAAAACAAAGGAGTTCAACTAGATGATCTCTCAAGTTCTCCTCCAGCTCAGACGTTCCCTCTGCCCTTCCAAATTGGATAAGAATTTTAGGTCAGTCCAGGGGTAGTAGCTGTTCCTCCTGGGGGTCCCTCTTGGGCTGAATCACAGAGGGGCAGGCTAGAAGCGGACAGAGGGGACTCCAAGGCCAAGGTTTTCCCTCTCTTTAGGGCTGCCCTCCCTGGGCTTTGAGAAGGCGGCAATGGGACCTTCCAGCCAAACCCTTCCCCAGTTTCTGGGAAGCTGCTGAATCCAAAGTCTTCAGAATGAGGGAGGGGCAAAAGTAACAGGACTAGGATGAGAGCATAGGGACCATTCCTTCCTTTTCCCCCAACTTTCAGAGGCCAGCCCAGGACTGAGGAAGAGGAACCGGTACCCTTGACACCCCCAGAGTTGTTCTAATTCAATAAAAACTCCAATGTAAGTTACATTACAAAAATAGCAAAGATATAGACCCCACTCTCAGCCCCTCCCCAGCAAAGGGGAAGATGCTGGCATTTCTAGAGACAGCAGACACTAGCCTGGCTTCCTGCTTCCACTGAAGGATCTGCCAAATGGGAAATGGAGGACAAGGTCCCCCCATCCACAGCTCCCTAAAGCAGCCTCCCCCTAACTAGAAGGACCAAGCCCAGGGACACGAAGCAAAGGGGACCAGTCTGAGGAGCACTGAGCCAGGACCAGGGGCAGGGGATGTCCATCCAAGAGGAGAGGGAGGGTGGGGGCGCAGCTCAGGAGGCTCCCACATAGCTGAAATGATTCCGGTCGCCCTCAGGGAGGCTCAGGGCCAGCGCCAGGCTGGGCTTCCGCTCCAACTCCTCATTTGGGGGGGGCTTAGGGGGGCGAACCTTGAAGAAGTCTGAGACATATCGTACCTGAAAAGGGAACAGGCCAGTGAGGGGAATGAATGAACGAGTTAATGAAAAGGAATATAATTTACTATGTGCAAAGCACTAGGAGCCAGAAAAGCAAAAGCTGTTGGGAGAGAAGGGGAAGAGGCAGGAGAGACAGCCAGGAGAGCAAGAGAAGGGCTGGAATACCCCAAAGACAGGGGAGCCCACAGATAGCCCCAGGGGGTGCATGTGGTCCCTACCGTGAGCCCAGCGACGAGTGCCCCCTGCAGGAGACCAGTCAGCACGTCACTCCAATGGTGTTTGTAGTCAGCCACTCGAGTATATCCCACATAGAGGGCAAAGGCCACCAAGAAGAACTGGATGGTGGGTCTCAGGAGCCGTGCCCACCGCCAGCAAAGACGGGCCTGCACATACAACTGCAGGGGAGATTGAAGCATTCATGGGGCTGGGCTGGGGGAAGGCCCTCTCTGCCCTCTCCCACCTCGCTCTCCCTCCCTTCTCCAATCCCTTCCCACCCTTCTGCCGCTGGTCTAACTGGGAGACTCAGGAGTCCTGGGGGACCCATCAGGGCTCACTCACCACAAGGAAGACCATGCAGTACATGCCAAAGGAGGAGTGGCCAGAATAGAAGGACAACCTAGGGGAGGAGCAAAACCATGTCCTGGAGGGTCAACAGTCTCCCTCCCCTCTAAAGCTGACCCTCCCACCACTCCCCAGCCCCACTCCCAGAAAAGATGCACTTGATAGGATATTAGGATACAGAACATCAGAGCTGGGAGGGCCCTTAGAATACAGGATGTCAGAGCTGGGAGAATCTTTAGAACACAGAATGTCAGAACTGGGAGGACCCTTAGAACACAGAATGTCAGAGCTGGGAGGGTCCTTAGAATACAGGATGTCAGAGCTGGGAGAATCTTTAGAACACAGAATGTCAGAGCTGGGAGGACCCTTAGAACACAGAATGTCAGAGCTGGGAGGGTCCTTAGAACACAGGATGTCAGAGCTGGGAGGGCCCTTAGAACACAGGATAAGGGAGCTGGGAGGGCCCTTAGAACACAGGATATCAGAGCTGGGAGGCCCCTTAGAACAGTTTCATTCTTTGTGCCTTAGGGAAGTCAGGTCTCAATGGAGGAAATGCATCTCTTGGGCAGTTTGCCCTGTGGGCCCTGGCCCCCTTGCTTACCTGGACTCAGTGACATTTGCAGGGCTTCCCCGGCACACAGCCTCAGGCTGGACATAGCCAGAGCAGTTGACCCGAGACCAGTCTGGATCACAGACCGCTAGGAAGTTGGGGCGAAGGCGGCCAATCATGTACTTGGCTAGGTCAGTCAAGGACTGGCTCACACTTGCCCCAAAGAGGTAGGTGCCCAAGACCTTGTAGAGGGCAGCCACGTAGTTGTTGAAGTCTGATCGGGAGTAGAGACGCTCTGTGTAGACAAGGTAGGCCTCCCCAGATGAGACCTGCCAAGTAGAAGCTGGTTAGGCAGCACAGCCAGGGCTCAGCCAGGACCCAGGAGAGGGGCAGAGATGACAAAAGGGATTTATCTTTCTAGGGACATGACAGCTCAGGAAGGGCCTGGTGGTGTAGTGGGCAGGGCACTGGGACTGGGAGGACAGGGCTCCAATCCAGCCTCAAACACTCACTAGCCATGTGACTGGCCATGTGCTTGTTGTTTTCAGCTGTTCCCACATTGTCTCCTCCATTAGACTGAGGGCAGGGCCTGTTTTTGACTTTCTTTCTATCCCCAGTGCTTAGCAGTGTCTAGCACAGGTCTCTTCCCTCTTCCCTCTGCCATTCCCTTCTTCTTCCTATACCATAAGCTGGGCACCTTTTGCCAGCTGCCCCTAAATATTTCCCCAACTCTAGGTGGTAGGATTCCTAGCTCAGGAAGGGCAGTATCAACTCTCATCAGAGAAAAAGTCTCCCCTCTCCTATTGTCCCCCCAACCCCCACTCTGGGCCAGCTTCCCTTTCAGGCTGGCTGCTCCCAGAGGGCACAGCATCCTTACAATGATGACGCTGACAGTGATGGTAACACCAGCCAGGAGGCCATGGGTGATGGTGTCAGGGCGGTACGGGTATCGGATGGTGTCATCACTGCAATAGAAGCCTCTCTTGTACGGAGAGTTCACCAGCGTCAGGATGATAAGGGGCAAAGAAGCTTAGAATAAAGAACACAGAACAACATTACTGCTGGGAGGTCCTTAGAACACAGAGTGTTAGGGCTGGGAGGACTCTTAGAACACAGGATGTCAGGGCTGGGAGGGCCCTTAAAACACAGGATGTCAGAGCTGGGAGAGCCCTCAGAATACAGGATATCAGAGCTGGGAGAGCCCTTAGAACCCAGGATATCAGAGTTGGGAGGGCCCTTAGAACACAGGATATCAGAGCTGGGAGAGCCCTTAGAACCCAGGATATCAGAGCTGGGAGGGCCCATAGAATACAATGTCAGGGCTGGGAGGGTCCTCAGGACACAGAATGACAGAGCTAGGAGGGGGAGGTGGACACCTCCAGTCATCCTGATCCATATCTGGCCACTGGGCCCACATGGCTCTGGAGGAGAAGGTGAGGCTGGTGACTTTGCACAGCCCTGCCTCACTTAAATCCAATTGCTTGCATGTCATGGCCTCACCTCCCTGCTGTATGGTTCTCTTCCACAGCCAAGGACGAACAACAACCTGTGAGGAGTAGTAGCTGCCCCCTAGGGACGCAACTGGCCAGTTCCAGTTGGGCAAAGCAGCTCCTCTTTTCTTCCCTCATTCTCTCCCTCTGTCCACACAGAGAGTCACACCCTTACCTGTGGGTGCTCTGCCCAAAGGAATACAAATTTTGATCACTGAAACATAGCAAGCTATTTTGGGGTTTATGGGCTAGATTTCTTTTTTATGGACCATGCCAGACACCCAACTCACTCTAGGCTCTCAAGGACTGGCTAACAATAGGTCCCAGTCCAAGCCTCACCTGGTCATTATTTGGATCCCGACGGCTCAGAGTGAGTGTAAATAGCAATTGTTTCTGTTTTGGTCAGAAACCCTGAGGGCCTTCCCTTCCCAGATTTTTTTTTAACTAGGTACAAGAGGCCATTCTTTGACTCTTTTTATCTTTTTTAGCCTTAATCAATGAATGGCCTTTGTCTCAGACAAACTGTGACCTGGGAAAGTCCTTAGCTTAAAAAGGCCAGGGGTCTCCCACTGCATCCAGGGCCTTCTCTAGTAGTTCTGCTCTATATCTTGTCACTGGACCCAGATGGCTCTGAAGGAAATACTGAGGCTGGTGACTTTGCACAGCCCTGCCTCACAAATCCAGTTCACTCACACATCATGGCATCATCTTCCTGCTGTCATGGTCCTCTTTGAGAGCGAAGGACAAATAATAATAGGTCAGGGCTAGGAGGGTCTTTAGAACAGTGTCAGAACTGGGAGGGCTTTAGAACACTGGGAGGTCCCTAAGAACATACAATGTCAGGGCTGGGAGAGTCCTTAGAACACAGAATATCAGAGCCAGGAGGGTCCTTAAGACACAGAATGTCAGGGCTGGGGGGGGGGTCCCCTAAGAGATCACAGGGTGCAACTCTCTGATTTTACAGATCAGGCCCAGAGAGGGTTGGAACTTGCCACAGGTGATCAAGTCAGTGGTAAAAGGGAAGACTGGCATCTCCTCATTTCTGACCCAGACTGCTTCCTGCCCTCATCCTCCCAGCACTAGCAGCTCATGCCCAGAAGCACCCTGCCTACCCTTTGCCCTCAGCCCAAGAGGTGGCACATTCCCTGCTGGTTTTCAGGTGTGCTATAGGGCAGGGCCCACTGGACCGACCTCACCCAAGCACAGGCCTTGGACTCCCTTTCCTCTGGGGCCACAGGTAAAGAGCTGGCTCTCAGACTTCACAGGTTTGAAGTAAGGGAAAAAGGATCTTCAGGGAGGGCTGGGGAACGGATCCATAACAGGGTCTAAAAGGAAGGTCATCCTTCTCTGGATCCCACTTTTCTCCTCTATAAAAATGAGGGTCTAGTATTCTATCCTCGTCTCTAGTGAACCAGGTAACATCAGAGACGGAAAAGATTTACAGGACCCGAGAGACTAATGCAACTCTCCCTCCCTTTTGTATTTTACAGAAAGGAAGCAGTAGCCCCTAGCAGGGCCCCAGGGGAAGGAGATACAATGTAGGGGGTATTAACACGATCCCGGGGGCCACCGCTCCCTTCCCATCTCCTCCGTTAGGGAGGGATTAGGGATTAGCTCCAGACAGCCCAGGTTTGGCAGACTCCCCTCCCCCAGGCCACCTTAAAGGGCTACCTTTAGCCCAGGCTCCCAAAGCTCCAAGCCTCCCAGGCTATTGTCTTTCTGCCCCACAGTAAACACTCGCCCTTTGTCTGGGCCCTGGGGGAGGGGATCAGAGGGGGCCCTCAGGCTGTCTGCAGCAGCACCCCCCCTTCCAGGAAAACCAACCAGTCAAACTGGTTTGGGATAGGCAGGGGCCAGGGTCCCAGCTCAGATTGCCACCCTCCTTTCCCCAGCCACTCAGAGCTTTGATTAACCCATACCTGTCCCCTAAGCCTCCCACAATCATGATCTACAATTATGTCTCCCTAGAGGAGCAATTTCTGAGGCTAGCAGGACTGGGCCAGGAACCCAGGAAGGAGGTTAGGCCAGCTCGACTGACTGTGGTCTGTCTCAATGCGCAGGTGTACGGGGGATAGATGGCTCAGGTTTGTTGGGAATCAGCAAAAAAGGCCACAGAGCTCTGGCCAGGAAATCAGGAGTCCTGGGCTTAACTAACTGCCTGTGCGACCTTGGGCAAGTCTCTAAAATTCTGGGTTTCCTGTCTGTGGAACACAAATGCTGGCTATACGATCTCCATTTCAGCGCTGACGTTCTATGTTTTGAAGTCTTCTAAGACTGCGATTGTGGACGGGTCAGAAAAAGTCCCCGAAATAATCCTCCAAATTCGGAAGTTACATCAGTATAGAAGGGAGGACCTTGAGGTCCAGATCCCGAGATTTCATTCATTCAACCCGCTCGAACCCTCCCCGGTTCAGTCCTAAGGTCTCCCTCCCTCCAGGGACTGGCCAGGCTATGGTCAGACAGAGCTCTCGCAGATCAGGGCTCCCTGCCTGCTATGATTCATTGCCCCGGGGAGGGAAACAAGAGGAAGGGGGGCTGGCACAACCTACCCTGGTTGGAAGAGGGGCTAACTTCCTCGTCTTCTGAAGGAATTCCCATTTATAGGTGGGAGTTTACTCATAGAACTATAGATTATAATAGCTGTAAAGACACAGTGCAATCCAATCCTTTCATTTTACAGATGGGGAAACTGAGGCTCAGAGAAAGAGGGTTAAGCGCTCAACCCTAAGTCACGGAGTCTAGCGCAAAGCTGGGGTTACATTGTAGTTTGCTCCAGCGGTAGCTCCCCTCCCTCTCCCTCCACTCCACCCCCACCAAGAGGTCTTCTACATAGGGGAATCGCTCCTCAGACTCTAGGAGCGGGGGGCGTTGCTTTCAGCTCCCCAGCTCCAGCCTTTCCAGATCTGGGCCCTTGGAACACCCCCTTCGGTACTGACGCCCAAGTAGGAAGGCCCTTTTTTCCATTTCCTTCAGATGGCTGGGTCCTGCACAACTAAAGATGGGCGAGGGGTGCAACTGGATGGGGTAGGGGTCCGGTGATAGGAGGAAGGGTTGCCGCTGGAACCCCCGGCTTACCGACCACAAGGCACACCACGTCGAGCACCACGAACACCCTGTTCCTCTCCATGCCCGGCCCGGCCCAGCCTGGCGCTGGACGGCTGACTCCAAGCGCAGCTCAGACACGCCTCCGCTGTCCCGGGAGGTGGACGCGGACGGGGCGGGGGCTCTGGGTCCTCAGCCGGGGGCCGGAGAGGCGTAGAGGGAGGGAGGGAGGCCAGCCAAGCTGGGCCAACGGGAGGACAGGGAAAGGGAGCAGGGTCACATGGCGACCGAGCAGGGATGGGGCGGGCACCCGAGAGGCGTGGAGCAGGCGGGGAGGCTGGACTCTGGCCCCGTCCCGCCCCCGAAGGGAAAAGGAGGAGGAAGAAATGAGGTGAGGAAGAAGGAGCAGGTTCACGGGAAGCCAACCTTAGGACTGGAAGAGCCCCCTGAGGTCCGCCCCGTCCAGCTACCTTCTATCAAATGAGATAGCGTTTTGTCAGGCGATTGGCTCAGTGCCTGGCGCATTGTAGGCGCTCTATAAATCCTTATTCCCTTCCTTTCCCTGCATTTTGGAGATGGGGAAACCGACACCCAGACATCTCCAGGGTCATGGGGTGTACTAGTGGCAGGGCCGGGACTAAGGACCCGAGTCTCCTGAAAAAGTCCAAGGCTTTTATGCCATTGCCTCTTTTAATTTAGAGGTCATTTTGGCCAGTTTTCCTGAGCAAGTCCCTTCCCCCCCAGCCTCAGTTTTATCATCAGCAAAATTCTATCATAGCCGAAGTCCCTGCAAGGTCTGACGTCATCCCTCGACCCCCCCCCCAATCCGATTTCCCTTTGTTCATGGAGGAAACAGAGGAGGAATTCTGGAACCTAAGAGTAACTTTTAACTCACTTCTCAAATCAGAGGCAGTTGAGTGATGCAGTAGATACAACTCTGGGGCCTGCAGTTAGGGAGAGCCAGGTTCCAATCCTGCCTCAGACACTTAACTAGCTGTGTGCAACCTTGCAGCAGGTCACTTAACTTCTGCTAATCTCAGTTTTCTCAACTGTAAAATTGGGATAATCATAGCACATAATATTTGTTAAAGTGCTTCCTGCCTTCAGTCACTCCTTTTTCCAATCAATTCTGAAAGGTTCACTTCTGGAACCACTTCCATAAAGACTTTTCCTCCAGGCCCTAGTCCCCCTCCCCCACCTCCCACAGCAGAAAGTGTTCTCTTCCTTCTCTAATTTTCTTGGAGTACATGATCTGGGCCTTTGTCCTTAAGAAAAGCATGGTACTTTGAATCCTATTTCTCGTGTACATACTGCATCATCCCCTGCAAGCTCCTTGAGGTAAAGTGTTTTTTTTAATTTCTATATGGCCAGAATTTAGTACTTTGCAACTAGTAAGTACTTAATACTAGCTTGTTGAATTGTTCTAAAGTTCCATCTACTTCTGACCTTTGGTTATAAGGGAGGGAGGGAGGGATCCAAAATCCAGGTCCCTACTACATCTAGATGACAGCAATCCACTTTCCCACACTGAAGGTTGTGAATAACTCAGGTACAAAGATCTTTTCATCCATGGACCCTTAGGAATAAGAAGTGTTATTGAGGCCAGGAAAGAAGGCTGGGAATGGAGGACTCTCCAGGAGCCTCAAAATCATATAAAGAACCTTAAAAATTGAGTTAGTCCAACACTAGTTGGTAAAGACAGGGGTGGGGAGACTGAAAACCAAAGGGATTTGTTCACACATAGATCTTCTGATTCTCAACCCAGGGCTCTGATGGAGAAGCAACATTGCACAGTAGAAAGTGGATTAAAACCTGAAATCAGAGAAACTGGATTCCAATCTTGGCCCTGACACCTACTGTCCCAGTGACTTTAGCTCACTGTTTCCTCAATCCCCTGGGCCTCAATTTTCTCACCTACAAATCGTTGGGCTTGGACTACATTGGGGAGTTCAATAGGGTAGCAGACTGGACAAGTGGAAGAAGAGGGGCATGTTTCTAAGTTGGGGAAAGAATTTCCACATGCCTCTGGCTCTTTCATTTCATCGGCCTCTCATACCAATCCCAGGCACCACCATAACCTTCATTTCCACTAGATGCAGTCCTCAGATACTTTAGATGACACCTCTTTACTAGGATTTCCCCAAGTGACCTGCCTAACCCCTGAATGCTCTTGTAAGCTGTCTCAGTAGCTAAGGGTTCCCTGCTTTTTGTAAATGACAGCCTTTGGATAGAAATTTGGTTTCGTTTTTCCACCCCCATTTTATAATGGGGAGAGTGGAGTCATGGATCCCAACAGGGAAATATCTATAGCACAGGGAAGGTTCCAACTCACTGAGCAAAATATACTAATCCCTTCTTCAGTCGACTTGCTCTTCCCTTTAAGAAAGGACTTTCCTTGGAATATAGGATGTCGTTACCACAAGCTAATTTTTTCCTCATTCACAGTGGGGGTAGTGGTGCTAGGAATGTGGTTAGAGGATTAATCAGCTAATTAACCTTTCAGTTTACAGAACCGAAGTCTTGCTGACCTATTTTCATTCTGGAGAAGGTAGGGTGGAGGCTTGTCACACAAGAGATGGACCAGAACAGATTCCATCCAATAGGAGTCTCCTAAAACCAGAGGAAGGGACCCTGGATAAATTTTATCTGTATGGATCCCCAGAGGGTTGTACTCATACTGCATATAGAAAAACAGGATCTTGTACAGCTGAGAAATTGTGTAAATCAAACTCGATTTAAAACGTCCAAAGTTTTGAAATGATGTGGAGCATGCCTAAAAATACCCTTCGTCTCGGTCAGATTCCATTGGTAGTAAGAGCCCAAGGCTAGGTTCCAGCTATGACTGGTCTCCCTCCTCTTAGTCAGTCCATGTTGCCTATACAACCACAGCTGCCTGGCAGGATACTCAAGTACTCTAGAACCCCCGATCCCTGAAGAACCCTGGAACACTAACCTTCAGAAGTGTAAAGACCTTTCTACTTTGGGCCAGGACCAGGTCCCTGAAATAGCCCAGAACTGTCCCAGCTGGGTTCCTCCTCCCTTCACTGGTCCCAGCAAGCAGAAACTATCAGCTGGTAATCAATGCTTGTCTAATTGGCCCTGTTCTCAGCCATACCCATTGTTTCTTGGCTTTTTTTCCCTAATTTTTAATGGAATAACTTGCAAAAAGATTTGGTAGCTGCTTATCCTCACAGATGGCAAAGGGTTACTTTAGGAGACATAACCTCTTCTAGACCCACATTACAAACTACATCTGTGATTTTCTCCAAAATGGGGCAGGAACTACACATCTATCCACACACTTCCCTGAAATTATCAACGACACAACTACGTTGGCAGACAAGCCCTAGCCTTGCTAGATCCCAACCCAGTCCTATTTTGAGTCATGGAACCCAAGTGTTGAACTGATAGGCCCTCATTAATGCCCACCTCGATGGAATCATAGCCATTGATTCCACTGAGGACCTTAGCTCAAACAACAGCGAAGGCATGGGCTGTCACCACTTTTCTAAGGCAGCAAGGCTTCCCAATTAACACTATGACAAGGATACATCTTTGACTTCAAATCAAATTTAATAAATAACGGCGAGGGCTATTGAAGGCAGTTTTCACTTCACAGTGTGGTCCTTACGGGAGCGTTTGAGTCTGGCCCTCAGGAACAGCTCAGGGGGAAAACAAATGTGCTTCATGACATATGGACCTTGCAGGGGTAGGGGGGCAGAAGAAGCCACGGCCCCTGCCTAACCTTCAGGAGCCCACAGATTTGTAAACAACAGAAATATAAATAAATGGGAAAGGAGGGGCAGGGGAAGAGAAGAGGAAAAAAAAGAACAAAGCCCTCCAGCCATTCTGCAGAAAACAAAATCGAGGCGTGGAGGGAAAGGGGGCAAGGACAAGTGCCCTCTCTATATTGCCGGGGGAGGAGACTGCCTCCTTCCCAAGAGCCCTCAGCGATTCTGGAATCGAGCTGTGGCTGCTGCTTGCTTTATGCAAGCCAAGAGGCTAGACACTCCCATGCGGCCTCCACCCCCGCAGCCTGGCCAGGGCCGAGCCAGAAGAGGGCCCTCTCTCCCTCCATTTCACACAGAGTGGAGAACTGGGGTCTTTGCGCCTGTCGGGCACTCTGGAGCAAAGGAGGCAGTGGGCCCAGGAGGTGAGGTCATTTGATCAGGGCCGGTGGCCACTGCGAGACAAGGGTGGTGGGAAGAGCAGGGAGTGTAAAGTGCTGCTTGACCTGAAGTGGAAGGGAGCTGACAGGAGTCACTAAGGGCCCAAACACAGTCAAGAGGTATATGGCTCCGAGTCCGGCCCCTGCCCCACCCTTGCCCCCCCACGTTATTTGGCACCATGAGCAGCAGCTGGCCATCTTGCTGTCCTCTCTCCACATGCCCCTAGGGAGGTCCTTCTCCGGAAGGGAAAAGTCTTTCCCTTTGCCCAAGCCTTGATGCTGACAAAAGTCAGGAGCTGCCATCAGGCTGGGGGAGATTGCTGGTGGAAGGGGCTGGGCCAAGTCCCACTCACCCCCAAAGCCCGCCTTCCCCCTCCCCATTGGGGGGAGTGACTTGGACCTTTTCTGAAGGTCCTGGGGGGGGGTCCCTTTTCTGGGCTAGGCTGGCAGTCTCAGCAGACCCCTCCCAGAAGGCTCATCCTTACAGTGGAGGAGTGGTCCAAGAGGCCATCATGTCCGCTGCCAGCAACGGAAGTCCAGGGAGGGGTTGGGAGGCCGAGGTCCTCCTCCTTCCCACTCCCTGCAGGCTGCCCTCCAGCACCCACTCTACTCTGCCCTGGGAGTTGCTACCAGGTTTCAAGTTGAGCCGAGGGGGCTCGGGACCCTGCCAAGCACTGTTTCAGAGAACCTTCTCTGCCCCAACCCTTTAATGTGGCTGTGTCTGGGAAGGTCCATCAAGGGCCCAGAAGGCCCAGAGCTCCTCGTCCCCTTAGTTCCACCTTCCAAAATGGAGGAGCTGACCAAGCAAGGCCTGGGAGGAGCAGGATGGAAGTGGGAGGCAGGAGGACTCTGACAGAGGCAATAGCAGGACAGGCCTGGCATGGGCAGAAGGGAGAAGAGAAGTTGTCAGCCAGAGCCCTACAGTCTGAAAACAGTGACGCGTTAACAGAGAGGAGTCTCGGTGCACACACCTGCCCCCAGATTAACAAATCAACAGGTCATCACGTTACAGCTGTCAGAAGAGAAGAGAAAGAGAATTATTTTCATTTTCATAGGAACCACCCCCACCCACCTGCCAAAAAGAGATGCTGACTCTCCTCCCATTTGTGGGGCCTGGGTATTCA